CGCCCATTCTCTCAGCCTCTATGCGCCATGCGCGTCGCTTCCTCGCACAAGCTATACACCACTCTCCTAACTTTTCCGGTACGAAGCACTCAGCATCCGCCCAATCTTCTTCCTCGTGTGCAACCGCCTTGGGTCTCTTCTTAGCACGCTTAGCTTTGCATCTCTTGTTGCGTGATCGCCTCCTCTTGCCACAGCCTCTAGGCCAGTCTCGTCTAACTTTGGCCAATATTCCTCAATTTGTGGCTCTTCCAGCCCATTCTCGAGCCATTGCTCGAGGTCCCCCCAAGACTCGTCCTCGGACTCACCGGGGTTAATAACCGCTTCCGTATCATTCCCCTCTTCTTCTAGACTTTCCTTGTCCTCAAGGATAATGAAATTCAGCTCCTCGACATCATCCTCCTCCTCAATAGGCGAGTCACCTTGATCCTTGGTTCACAACTTGATACGCTTCCCTGGTCATCCAAACTCTATTTTACCTCGCTTATAGTCAGTTGTGATGGGCCCAAGTGTCTCGATCCAGTGCACTCCCAACACTACATTGGTAGCCCTAAGCGGTAAGGCGTAGAGGTCAATCTCAAACTCCTGATCTTGTGCCATAATTGGAACTTTCTTGAACAATTAATTTCCTCGGAGTTCTTGTCCATTGGCTACTTTGACCCCAAACGTCTTGACTTTAGTGGGCACCAACTTCAACTTTATGGCTATCTCTTCATCAATGAAATTCAAACTCGACCCACTATCTACCAATACTTCCAACAACATATCCTTTATCTCAGCGGTAAACCTGATCATCTTTGGGCCTCGTTTTTTGTACTTAACCACATGTAGCAAAGTCTCCTCAAGTGATTCGCTCTCATGTTCCTCTTCGAATTCTAGCAAAAAGACTTCCTTACCTTTGTATTTATGGCCCGGTGTGAATCGTTCGTTGCATGTGAAGCATAGGCCTTTTGCTCTTCGCTGTTGGATCTCATCCTCAGTTAATCGCCGCATATTGCTCGTGGTGCGAACACCTTTCGGCTGTCGGCTTCATCTCGGCCCGTGGGGGCGCTTCCTCATTCGCGGCGTCTGTGCGCCTCGGCTCCGTGCGCGCTTCACTTGGCCTTGCCTTGCGCACCGCCGTGAGGTGGTCCTCGTGCAACCTAGCCGACCCCATAGCCGCTCGTGTTGACCTCGACCTGTCTAGTCGCACCTCAGCCGCCAACTCGGCTTTCAGTCCTCCAACGAATGCTCCTACTAGCGCACTCTCGGGCCAATCCCGCACCCTACTAGCAATGCCCTCAAACTTCCTCTGATAATCTCGTAAACTACAAACCTTTCGTATACGAGACAACGCTTTATCATAATCAAAGTAATCACTAGAACCAAACCTCGTTATGAGCTCTATTTTGAAATCTCTCCAACGCATGTGCTCACCATTGTTCTTGTGCAAAATCCACTGCCACCAAACGTTCGCTTCTCCATCAAGATAATAGGAAGCAATTTGAACTCGTTCATACCTTGGCACGTCATTGATCACAAAAATTTCACAGCCCGACTAAGCCATGCATCCGGATCGACTTCCGTGAACGTGGGCATGGTAAGCTTTGTTCGCGTGTAGGCCCGTTCCTCGTGCCATCTGTCGCGGTGGTGGTGGGCACGCTCCTCGTGCCGTCGCTGATCCTCGCGGTAGCGCCGGTCGTCGCACGTTCGCGATGCGTGCGTGGTGCGCATTGCCCGCGATCGCCGATCCTCATCCTCGCGATCGGCCTCGGTGTTGTTGGATGCCGTGGTCGATCGTGTCTCA